ATGTACCTAGGGAGATGTCCGGTTAGACTTGGTTTAAGGTCCGCTAGATCGGTTTAGGTTGAGTGCCTAGGTTAAGTCCGGTCAGGTCGTGTTCTCTAGGTCTTGTAGGTCTGATTAGGTAGAGACGTACCTAGGTTTAGGACCGATAGACTAGGGTTGGAGCGTGTTTAAGCACGACTAGGTAGAAATATACCTAGGGTTAAGTCCTCTAGGGTTCGGTCTCATCCCTCGTGTCATGTTACTTCACTTCTAGGGTCGGGTAAGTCACTTCCGGGTTGAGTCGATGATGGAGTTAGACATTCTAGCTCGGTATACCCCGAAAGGGGGTATGGTGGAAGGACTAGGGGTCTCAGGCAAACCCGAGAAATCGGGTGCAGGAGAATGCCAAGGACCGAGGTGGAGTGATTAGTTCTGCGGGTAGGTAGGGACACTACAAGAAGGTGTTGTAGGTCCCGGATGACGAGGTAGGGAGAGTCCGAGGTAGAAGGACGTTTTGACCTCGGAGGAGTAAACCGAAGCTGCTTCGGTTCTCGGTGGTAGGTCAGGAGGTGAGGTCTCCACATTTAGGTGGAGCTTCCTCGGGTAGGATGCTCAGGAGATGGTGGGAGCTGGGAGGTTTCGGGTCACCGGGTAGAGTCGGTGTAGGTTGGCGCTAGGACACTCCCTCTCGAGGTGGAGCACGTGCACTCACGTGTCTCTTATTCTCGGTGGAGCATCATAGATGACTAGGAGAGTCTTCGCGGGACAAAACCGTGGGACAATTCTAGTCGGCAGGTTAGGGTCCGAGGGTAGAAGTCGTATACCTATAGGTAGTATGGACTTCACGGGGATCCGGGCTAGGTATCTAGCGGGTTTCGGTGGTATGACTCAGGTTAGTCTCGGAGAAGTCGGGATAGACTTAGGAGACGGGTAGACGTCGGGTATAATCCTCGGGTTAGCTAGCGGGTATAGTCTTGGACTTTACTAGGAGGATTGGTTAGACGGTCTAGGGAGTCATACAACCGAGGGTAGCATTCGCCGGTCGGGCGATGCGGGATAGGACTACGGTTCGAGTCTTATCGGGGTGAACGTTCTAACATGTTTACCGAGTGTTTCAGGTTTTGGATAAGCTGATCGGTGGCGGATAAGGCGACGAGGCCACGAGGAGTCATCGACGGGAGCTTCATCAGATTGAGGGCGACAAGTGACTAACTCCGGGACATCAGGTAAGTGAGGTAAGTCAGGTAAGTTACGCTTTAAATTCCGACGAAAGTCGATGGATCGACGAAAGTCGATCGGTGCTGGAAACGGCGAATCCCACTAGTATTTTATTTGTTATTATTTCCTTGCAAGTTCCTTTCTCCACCAAGGTGGAGATTGTTGGGCCCGCTCGGCCCAGCGGCCCAATTTGGTGGAAGAAAGAACTCGGCCCAATGGCCGAAACTGTGCGTTTTGGAACTTAGGGTTAATGAACCCTAATACTCGACATAACGCGGGAGTGGCGTGTGGCTCGAGGTGAGATCATTCGAGAGAGAGAGAAGAGCGACCGCGGAGGCGATCGTGGTGAGAAGAGAGAGAGGCAAGGCGGCCGACGTTTCTCGGAGACGACGGAGCTAAGTCGACGGCGGTGCGGTAAGCAAAGGCCGGTTTCGGTAAGTGTCTCGGGTTTTCTTCTCTGGTTGTAAACCGGTGAGCCTCCGACCTTGTGTGGAGGGCCACCGGGTGTATTTTCTCTTCTCGGTTGTTTCCTTCCGTTCCTCTAGTGGATTCGCCGGCACCGTCCGGCCGAGATGTAGGCCCGAGCTTGCTCGGTAACCGAACTCGTAAAAATCCGTTGTGTTCTTTCGATTCCCGCACGTACGAGAGTCGGAGTGGCCGTGAGATCTTGATACCGTCTTCACATCCTCAACTTACAAATTCAAAACCTAATTTAAAATTAAAAATCAGTAAATATATTTTATTTCTGAATATCTATGATATCAGAAAATTGGATACATGATAGATATGGCCGAATGTGTTTTTTTTTTTTCCTTTTTGGTAAAAGAGATGGTCGCATGTTTGAATTAACATATATACGAAAACGAATGTAAATTTGGATTTAATTATATATCTATCACATATATAAAAAATTGTAAAAATATATTTCATGTTTATAAAATATATATTTTAAAAAATTACACTATTTTATACAAAATATGCAGTTGTGGCGGGGAGTTGGCTTTAATGAGCCTTAAAAATTACGGTTAAAAACGAGTCGGTAATAAATCAGTTCGAATTCGTTTTAATATTTCTACGGATATTTGATATCTCGGTCCATTTGGATGTGACTGAGAATGTTAGATGATGATGAATATTTTATATCTTGTTAGGATTTTGATGTATTTACCTAAAAAATTTAAAATTGGTTTTGAGAACTTTTAAATCCGAATATTCGTGGGCATACTCAAATAATCATACCTGACACGTGGAATATCAAAATTTGGTATCCAATACTATTAAATGCTAATATGAATACGGTGTACATGTGCGTTGCCCTGTTCAAAAAGCAATACGCAGTCGTTTTGATTCTTATAACGTCTACGAACATGTGACATCGGTGGTGGATCGACGAGTTTTGTTCTCAATGTTCTGTTATTACAATTGTCATATTCTACAATATTTTTATTTTGGATAATAAAAAAAATTCCAATTTGCATTCAATTCAATTGTATCATATCAGATTTTAACTGTATTTAGAGTCTCTAAGTCGCGTCGTTCGAAAAACTTTAATCATTCGTCCGTTTTTCGATTTAACAAATTTCTTTGTTGATTCATTGATCAATATCAAATATTTCGTCAATACCACTCTTTCGATGGTCGGAGTTTTGACCATTTCTCTCGGTCGAAAAACTCTGACCATCGACCCGTGTGTAACGACCCAAATCTGATATGATGAACCGATCTAAAATCTCATACACCAAATCAATTTCAATAGATATAGACACCAATCTAAAATCTCAAGGCTCTTGAATTGATTATCTAAATATTGCAATTTTTTGTGATGTGTAGAAATATTTGGACATTTACGGATATTCTAATTCAATCTAAGTCTAAACCTTAAACCGGACGAATGTTGTAAGAATATAACATATTAATTTGAAAAACCTAAACCCTTAACATTTGAGACTCTGAAACATGGATAATAAAACATGGAGAACCGAGTCAACATTAGCAGTTTAAAATCCAAAACCTCTAATATTGATATGTATATATATAATCTCATAATGTTAATAAATATACACAAATCTCGTTGTAATTCGGTAAAAAAAATATATCCATATGTAAATTATTCAAATCCAATCCAAAATATTGAGATATCTTATTTTTCAGAAGATATATATGGAACGGTTCGTATTACTTGGAAAATTTTGTCTACTACTAATTTTTAGATCAATTTATAATTTTATAAATGAGAAACGTTTCACCATTTTCGGTTAGCAAAATCCCAAGTTACAATGATTGGAGCGTATCTCCATTTGGCAGTCCGTCCACATGCAGAAGCCCGGCCGCAAGATCATGCATTGCATGCAATGCAACCGGAAGGTTTTTAATTCCTTGCTCTTTTATTATATATAATTCATTTTTATTTTACTTTATTATATATCCAAGTGGGTCATTAATTATGCAGATCTTTGGTTGGATCTGCGATTTCATCCTTAGAAAACGTGGTCCGATTTTCTTGACATCTTTGGAGGATTTTCTTGATCTGAGTAGAGTGGTCATTTAGGTTTTGGTCCCACTGTGGTTAGGTTATTTTTTCGGATTTTTAGATTTTAAAAATTATATGCATATATATATATATATATATATATATATATATATATTCAGTTTTAGTTTAAAATTTATTGATAACAATGCTTATATTTAAAAGATTTTTTTTATGTTTTCTAAATAACTAATTCGAGTTCCATAATTCCATTTAACTTGGTTTTTCAATTCTATAAAAGAATAATTTTTTAAAGTTTATACTGGATTAAATTTGAATACATTTAAAATTAGATTGGTAGTTTTTTTTTTTTGTATGGGGTTAAAATAATAATTTATCTTTTTACCATCACTTCGATTTCTGATTATACTAGTTTTCTTTTCCTTTTAATATTAACTTTTTACCTTTTATTTCCATTATAAAAAAACAATAATGTAAAACTATATGAGATGAAAATACTATCTCATGCGTCGCAGAGGAAAATAAAAATATTTACGAAATATGAAGAAGTAAGTTAGATACAGTTTTTACACCTCTCGAATGGGAAACTAAAGTAAAACAAAGAATGAAAATAAAGTAAAAAGTGAACATATGAAAAAAGAAAGAAAAATAAGAAATATTTATATGGAATTTTCATAAAGTTTTTGATACTTGTTAAAAATATTTGTAAATTAAGCAGATTAGAATCTACAATATACAATGTATAAGCCGAATGTATATATGATAATAAAAAAATGGCTAGAATAAGTAAACTTGGATAAATGAGACACTATGAAATTGTAATTTTTTTTTTATCGGCATTACAATAAAAATTGTAGATCTTCAAAATGTACAAATCCATTCAAAATATCTTGCATGGGTTTTTTCCCCCTGTCGACACCAATGTTTCCTAAAGAAAATATAGAATTACAGAAATAGAGAATTGATAACCATTTTTTTTTTTTTGGGAATTTTTATCTGAACGTTGAGTTTAAGAGATTCTGGAACTCTTCTTCTTCACAAGGGATGAGAAGTCCCATGTCGTGTCCGAAACCGAATTCTTCCTCAGCTTGTCGGAGAAGATTCTGGAATTCGGGTCGGGCGAGGAACGAAACCGGTACGACGTACCGGACCCGGTTTAGCCCAACGTAAACCACGAAATGACCCTTCGGGACGTCGAATGGCGGGCCGACCGGTTCGATTTCGGTACAGTTCTGTTTCTTGCCAATGCTCGAGCAACGTTTGATCATCTTCTTGATTGTCGCAGGCTGTGGAAGTTTGCTCTGGTTTCCCATCGATTGATTGATTGATGGAGAGAGAGAGAGAGAGAGAGAGAGAGAGAGAGAGAGAGAGAGAGAGAGAGAGAGATTATTGAGTGGTGAAATAATTAAGGTTGATGAAAGTTCAAAACTTGTTTTTGGATACTTATAGTATGGGAAGTGATTATGGTGTCGTTGACTTCATATTCGTGTGTGTGTGTGTATATATATATACATATATTTGTTTGTGAGTGTGAAGGGGTATTAAAAATATTAAATGTAATTTATTTTCTAAATCTACTTCTTTTCATTTATGTTTTATTTAGAATCCTTACACCCATGTTAAATATTAAATAATTGTTACTTTTACAAACAATTATTTTTCATAAATTTAGAAGAACGTACTAAAAATAATTAGAGCATATATCAATTATCATCAATGAAATTATTGACTAATACGAACATATTTTTATATTAGTTTTTGTTTTCTTTTTCTTTTTTTCTTTAATAAAATAAAATAAAATCCTATTTATTTATAAATAAATAATCTTTTTTGTCTTTTTTCTTCTCAAAATCCCTACGTTGTCTTTACCTGTTTTCTATTTTTCATAAACTCTTTAATTTTTTAAAATCTTTATTCAAATGAAAAAGAGAAACTTATTAAAAATAAAAATAAAGCTACAATAAGAGGACCTCTAAAAACTTAGAAATCATTTGGTATAAAATCTTAAATGAGAAATGCAGAGAGAAATTGACTGATATTTTCCTCCCAAAATTATATATATATATATATATATATA